TTGTATTATATATTATATATATATATATATATATTATATATTATATTATATATATATATATATATATAATAAATATAATAATATTACATTAACTAACTAAACAATAGTGCAAATAACAACTGAAGAACACATGAAGCCTAATTGGATGACTTTAACCCCATCTAAAGACTTATAGTTTAGTAATGATTAAATAACGTGTTCCTACAGTTTATTCTCTTTAAAGTAGTCAAATAAACCAGAATAATGTCACACCATCGTACTTATTTTACACAAGAACCCCTTCACGGACTTGAATGGGGGAAACACTAGCTTCCAGTTTGAACCACATTTAAAGAGAGTACATGAACTTATTATAAGTTAATGTTTAAAAAAGAGGTTTAAAAACTACCTTAAAGTGTCATGAGGCGTTAGAATCCGTCGTGTCTTCGTCGCCGCGTTCCTCTGCTCTCGAGCCCAGAGGAAAGATGAGGCACGCTCGATCCAGTCCCACAGCTCACGAGCGTGTTCGTGATTGGTCCGTTCCGCCGTCGGTTAAAGACTCCCGCCTACGCCTCTCACGTGGGCAGCGAATGTGCGGACGTTTGTTCCGACTGCGAGCTGCCGCTGCGTTCAAGTGCTGCTCAGGAAAAAAATAAATCTAATAGAACATCGGGGGCACACGTGAGCGGGGGGGGGGGTCAATATGATTTAGGAAAATTTAGATTTTAAATATGAAAGAGGTCTAAGAAGTGATACAGTATGAATAGAAATCCTGATTGTAGTATAAAATACACACGAATACAAACATTAAAACTGAAACTTCACTCATTGTGTGGAACCTGAATCACTACAAGAACATGGTCGATCTTGATGGAAGAAGTAATTCCCTAATTCACATTATTTACTTAAAATAATACCACAGAGAATAAATACTCTGTTACTAAAAGACTAGTGTTATCCGTAAAATGTACTCAAAGTTTCATGTGTACAATACGCGTTACGCAGTAAAACAGCCCCGTATCAGTGTTACTAATGTGATAACAGGTATGCATTTTTATATTGGAGCTGGCCGATGTGGAGCTCATTTGAACTACTTTACTGTGTACTTTAATATATAACAATACATCATATTTCACAAACTGATCACATGTTTACGATGTAATATCTTAATCTAAAAAGTAAATAGTACCTGTAGCTGTCAGATAAATATAGAGGAGTAAATAGTACAATATGTCCCTCTGAAATGAAGTCGAGTATAAAAGTATAAAGTAACATGAAATGGAAATAGTCACATGAAATACAAGCACCTAAAAAACTACAGTACTTGAGTAAATGTACTTAGTTACATTCCCCCACTGAAAAGGGGCAGAGTATGCTGTATTTTGTAATATCAAATTGTTATTAATAACTCTTTAACTGCTGTCACATGTTCCTTTTGTAACACAATAACTCTGTGTTCCTATGTTGTTTTTATGCTTTTTAGATGCCAAATATCTCATGACTCAGTCATTTAAGAAGTTCTCGTGTGAGTTTTAATATATATCAGGGAGTGCAAATGAAATAAACAGAAGCAAAAATGTATTTCAAAAGCATTTATGCATCAAAATATTAACAACCCAGTATCTATATATCAGTGTTAGACATATCTAGAAGACAGAGGAAGTTGCAGTGAGCACCTGAACGCAGCATTTTAAAGAGACAGATGACTCAGAGAGGAGGAGGAGGAGGAGGAGGAGGGAGGGAGGGAGGGGGGGAGACAGGAAAGACCAAATAAGGAAACTCTTCATTCACGTTTTTCTTCTTCCTCTTGAAGTTCTCTCAGCTACACTTCTGCTTCTTCTTTCCTCTTCTTCTTCTGCTGAACAGAAACTAAACACATCTCTCATGATGTTTGCTGACCTACATTTTGAGGAGTTTTTTTGGACAATTGTATGTCCAATAAAATACACATTAACACCCCGAAATGATGACGTGTCTTTGAGCTCTTTAAACTTTAAAAGACAAGATCTAATAAGTATATTATAACCTTTATGCATGCAGGCATTAGTTAATTAAGGGTTTGTTGTAAAATGACAAAAAAAAAGTGTTATTTTGCAACAAACCCATAACTTTATTTTACGTTATTTTTTTGGTACAGTAGTTATTTTAAAGTAAGTTAACGAGCTTTCGGGTTCATTTTGTTATTATGCCCAAACACAAATGTTTTTTATTTTTTCAGAAATAGTTCTCTTGACTTCAAGTTTATGAGCATATATATATATGCATATATATATATGAGAGTCACAGACGTCTCAGAAGTGCACCTCTTGAAGGAGTGTTGCAGGAATTTTCTGCATCACATTTAGTGTTTTCTCCGCTGCTGCTGTTTTTAGGACACAATAGTCTTTTTCTGTAACGACTCGTCTCTCCCTCGGGCTGCCTTTTCGCTGAGTCACCCAGAGGCCATTAATCTTTAACTATGGGCAAACGAAGACTAGGTGGCAGGCCAACATGCAGTACCTACAACTTTATGAAACAAGCACCCTTTGACAGTTTATTTGTTTATTTATTTATTGTCCTTGAGTTTCAGACAAGTCTTTGTGGATGTTTAAGAAGACAGAAAAGTATCATTCATCATCAGTAGAAACATGTCCCGAGCTGCAAACAGACAGAAGTCCTGTTCGGTTGAATCCAGCTCTCTCTCTCTCTCTCTGGATCTTTATGCACAATCTCATGTGCAACGTTATCATGTGAGAGCACGAGAGGACAAGGGTGGAGTCACATCTTATTCTCCTTTAACTTGATGTGATTACAAACACAAATCTACATTTAAAAACACACTCAACGGTTACTGTAACAGTGCCCTTGAGCCTGTTGGTGTTGTGCAGACACTTTGGAGATGCATTGATGCAAGAACTGAACAGTTTAATACTATTTCCAGCCACACTGGAACTGCCCATTTACTCTACTTCAGTTCCAAATAGTGACCTCGGTCAAGGATCAATTTGTTTCTTCCTGATACCAATTCCAATACCTGAATGTGAGTATCGGCATTTCAAAGCGGAGTGACAGACTAGTAGCAGCAGCGACCTGTCAATCACAGTAAGCCCCGCCCTAAAGCATACCCTGTTTTATAGTCTATTTGCCTAGAGTCCTATAGAAGTCTATGAGAAAATGACTAATTCTCTCCTGATTTATTACCTCAGTAAACATTGTAAACATGAGTTTATGGTCTCAATCTCTAGTTTCAAGCCTTCTTCAATACAGCATGATGTTCATCTAGTACATTATGGTCCATTTAGAGTCACACAGACCATGAAGCAGGGGGTGCTTTAGGGCGGGGCTACACGGTGATTGACACGTCTCTTGGGGTCGTCCGGTCTGGGAGTTGTCCTTGTTTTCGTCCTATAACTTTAACCCTTTCACAGTGTGTTCAGTTCATGGAAGTTCGACCTTTTTGGTGGCCTAAAAATTCAGCATCCGGTTGTACTTAGCTCCGCCCTCTCATGTCACTTCTGGTTGCAAAAGGCCAAGATGGCGACAAACAAAACCCTGAATTCAAGGCTTCAAAGCGGCAGTCTACAAACCAATGGGTGCCTACGTCGTCTTCTTATATACAGTCTATGGTACCGATCCAATACCAGCGTGAACAGCTGTTTTGGGAAATTACCTTTTTAAAAAGGCTCAGAAAAAAGCACACATTTGTGACATTTTCCTGCAGTAGGAATGAAGGCTTTGGTCTTTTACACAATAAAATACTGAAGGTTATCAGCCTTTTTCCTCCAGCTCACCCAAATCAAAAAGGTCATAACTAGACTTTGTAACGTTAAGAAAAAGTAAACCTCTGAAGAAGAGTTAACACTTTATGTCCAATACTAAAATAAGTGAGCCAACCAACACCACACAATTTAATAGTTGCACCTTTTATTATAAAAAATATTTACAAAGATGCTACAATGTTTTTTCCTTAATATAAAAAAATGCATACATTTTACAACGGTAATTAGTCTTTGAAGTTCTAGCTCCCATTCAGACCAGAGTGACATCCTTCAGGAGTGTTGTGGTAAGGTATTAAGCGTGTCGTAATACTGTATTTTTGTCAATACATTTTGTTTGCCTGAGTTAAATCTTTTCATCACGATGATAAGGAACAATTTTGAAAAATGCATTTGATTTTCCACATCTTTAGGAGAAAGGCAACTGTTTGCATAAAGGAATTAAAGGACATTTGAATCGTATACAATCATTTTGAAACACGTATGACAGAGCTGCATAGTGATTTGAATAGTAACCCGGATATTATTATTATTACTAATAATAATAAGAAATGTGAGGAATAAATAGGTACTGCATTCAAAACGGAGGGCAAAATTTGGATAAATATAATTTCATCAGGCCTCGTGGTTGATTTGATACGTCAATATGGCATGTCTGTACCTAGATATAATAAATACAATAAATAAAACAACAATAAATTAGATTGTGTTGACACACAGAACTCTTCATTTGTTGTTCTAACAAATGAGAGAAAGAAATATGGCTTCTTGATGCAGTTATCACCCCGGGGTTTCTCCAGATGCTTCAGGAAAAAGCAGTTATTGTTATTAGATCTGTATGAATAGCAGGGCGGGAAGCTTACTGGATCAAATGTTAACCAGCGTTTGGTTGGTGGTTGGCAGTAACCCCCCCCGCCCTGCATAAAGCTTTTGAGAAAATGAAAGAACAGCGCCTTTAAAGTGTGACGATGCCAGGCCTGACACCTGTTACAGTCGACTTGTTATACCAAACCATGGGAAGACACTGTCTCGAGTCTGGCTACATTAAAATCTTAAAAACCGCTTGGGAGGGAAAAATAATAATAATATCAAATGATACTTGCAAAATCCCCCCAGCTGTATAATGCAAAAAAATATATTTCTATATACACATACGTACATATACATATATTCCATTCATAATTGCTCAAATCTTTAGGAAAATATGCATTGATTCATAGATTTGGATTTACAATTTGTTCTGGTTTCTGATGCATGTAGTGTGATGAATTGTTCCTCAGTCCATGTTACAATAAATAGAAATGGACAAAATGGCAGAGAGTACGACCAGAAGGAGCTAGTATGACAGAATGTATGACAGACGTAAACATGGAAAGTACGTAAATAAGAATGCATCATGGTATAGGTAATTATCTTTGCCCTCTCACAGATATTGTCAAGTTTTGGATTTCATCAACAAAGTAGGAAACTAACTGCTTCGCCCAAAGGCCAGCAAGGCTTGTGAATCCCAAAATTCATTAATTTCACCATCACTACTTTTACTGCCAATTACATTGTTTGAATAAAAGATGAAGGCCCCAACAGCAGCTGCCGACTTGCCTAAGAGGCCGTTAGAGCGGACTAACTACGCCTCTAACAGCCCGTCCCAACATCTACTTGGCTTGCTGTTAATTTCCCACCTTGTCCCCAAAACCTTCAACAATCTCCACGTGTAACAATACCACATACAGAACATGCACATGTGTACTGTGCATAGTCTGGAAAGAGTCTGAGGGATCAGTACAGGCCAGAGGAATGTTCGGAGTTTCAGGATCCCACTATGATCTCCATGATGTGGTCCAGTTCATTCAGGTCTGACCTGCAGCTCGAGCTGGAGCTGAGGGCCGTGGGCCCGTGAGAAGAAAGGCTCTCCAGCAGGTCGTAGGGCCCCATCTTTGGGGCGCTCTGCATGCCCGTCAGCACCGTGTCGAGGTCATAGTAGGATGGGTCCACGTCTGAAAACAGTTCCTCGAGCGCAGGGTCAGGGGGCGGCACCGGGTGCTTGATCTCAAAAGTCCCAAAAACCTGCTCCCCTGTCCTGGAGTCTGCGCTCAGGTGGTCCCGGTCACCCTCCTCTCCTTCCGACACACACTCCTCGCTGTCCTCCTCTTCGTCCTCCTCGCACTCACCGTCTTCCTCCTCCTCCTCCTCCCAGCAGGGCCCCATGCCAAAGGGACCTGCAAGGTACGACGCAGAGGACAGCTGGGGGGAGACGGGCGACAGAGTGGACATGGTGACCTCTGTCTCCACGTCTCCCTCCATCACCACCTCCTCGGCGTGGTAGCCTTCCTCCAGACCCACCACGGAGAAGGGCTTTGGGCTCTGCCCGGCCTGAGCTGCCGCGTCCGTCTGCCGGCATAGCACCTCGGTGGCCACCAGGCGGTCCGTGGGACACTGGGCGGCCGCCAGAGCCTGGGTCATGATCTGCCAGGTGCCGTCCTGGGTCATCTCCTCCTGTATCTGCCGCACCGTGTTGGCGATGAGCACTGAGCGGCACAGGTTGGGCTCCACCAGCATGTGGCAGAGCTGCAGCTTGATCAGCGACATGTCGAGCAGCGCCTGCCGCTGCAGGCTGTAGGAGGACGTCAGCGTCCGAGCCGCCACGGATGGGGCCACCGGGACCTGGTCACCGCTGGAGACTGGCTCCTCCCCGGAGTCTGAGAACTTGCGCTTGGTGCCCTTCGGGAACATGTTGTCTCTCTGTGGTGACGGCGAAGAGAAAGAAACACGGTCAGATATCCAAACACTTCTGAGCATCAACTAATTTATCACACTGACAAAAGCACAAAATTTTCTGAATTTCACTAGCTAAGATCATAGTGAAAAGAATAAGTGCCATGTAATTAATGTGTGTGATGTAATGAGGCTATGTGGTGTGTTATTTGTGTATGGACATGAGGGAGATAGGGCTACAAGCTGCTCAGCAGCAGCTGTGACTTTATGAATAAACTCTACAGGTTTAAACTCTTCATGGACTACAGTAAACAGTAAATTGTTTGTTGTAGTTTTTTTCTTAAAGTTTGCTATACCTTTCCTGTTGAGAGGCACAGGCAATAGCAATGCAGCTTGGTCCCGGCTGCAACGCTTCAAGTACTTTTGTACGAGCGACAAGCAGCTTTTGTTCAGCACCATTTCTGCCCATTTTAGGCCAGTCTGAAGCAAGACTCCTGCTGGGCGGAACAACCACACTTTTAACAGACCACTGAGCCACCGAAAATAGCATGGTTACCAACTAAATGCAAACGCCGCATCAAAGTAAGCACAGACTAGAGAGACCTTTGTCAGGAAAACAAACACAGCACGCAAGTTACATGATCAGTGAACTTCAATTCTTTCCCACTGCCACCTGTGATCAAGAAAGTATCCTAATCAATAAGGTGCTTTTAAGGGGTAAAAGTGATAATATGACAAATAAAAGCATTTACAATATCACAATACAATATACCACCATGAACCACTAATATTTACACGGGATGTCAGGTTTCCGGGTCTCCACACACACACACACACACACACACACACACACACACACACACACACCGAGCTTCAAAAACTAGCAGAACAAGATTTTCACTTTCTCTTCACTGAGGGAGGGGAAGAAAAGTAGAGTCAACTTCCTTATTACACACCGTTTAGCACACAGATGTCTTACAGGAACAAAAGAACACTCCTGCCAACATCATCGGCCCTCTGACTCCCCAAAATAAACGGGATGCAGGTAAATAGGAGACTGAGCTCTGAACAGCAGCCTGTGGCATTTCACTTTCCAGACAGAGAAAGCGTGTCCGGCTGAGTCTCTGTTGGCAGGGCGTTTGGGTGAATGAGTCCACTTGGTTCAAATGTCCATTTGTGATACATTTCTTTAAAAATAATCCCAACAAGTTAAACCAGGGATACAATGGCAATAGTATTGACACATGTTGGACTGTGAAAGCATAGCATTAGGGTTTACAGAGAAGAAAGCAAACAGCAGAGTTGTTAACAATTTTACAAAAATCTGCCCACTTTCCTATGGAAACCAAAATTACACTAAATGCACGAAACACTGCTGTTATTGTCACAATTCACCTCCAATAAAACAGAATTTGTTTGACTTTAAATGCAAACCTAAGGCCCTATAATCTGAGCAAATTACATACCATCGTAAAATGAACACACTCAGGAGTGCCGTGCAAGATTTTACAGCCAAGAACTGGGATGACGAAAATATAATTTTACATTGAATCAACATATAATCAAACAAAGTAGTGATTTCTAACTGGGGATCGATTGTAAACTTCAGCCTTCAATAGGGGGAGTGACTGCGCTTCTTCTCACACATGAAAACCTGACATCAAATGAGGAAGCAAGATTAAATTACAGCTACTGTCTTCACCTGATTGATCAGAGGAATTATAGAAGCCATACCAAGAAGAGAAGAGGAGGATCTAAGGTACACTGAATTGCTTGGGAACCGTTACTTTCTTTGAGTCCTCGCTTGCAACGGGAATAACATTTCCTGACAATAGGAAAAAAAGAGTCATTTATGAAAGTGCCCGAAGATCTAAAATACAAAAAGGGTGAGAAAGCAATTACGGACATATGTTGTCTTCTTGTGTGGTGCATTTGTGGCTGGCCCCTGTTAAACAAGAGACACTAGAGAGCACTACCTCCTTAAAGGAAAAACAACAACAACGTGTAAAAAAAGGAAATGATATGCAACCAGGAAGACCTACAACCTGGGAGAAAACACACTGCACAGTGAGGAAAGAACAGTTTGGGACATGACAGTTGTTCTTCACAAGTAGATATGTGGTTTTTGAACACCCTATAGTTTAGCATTTTGGGGTTAAATCTCAATGAATCTACTAATTTAATCGTAAATAATCTGGATCACTCCGACGTTGCACCTGTAGCAGACAAACAAAGTGTACAACTGATGCAAAAACTCACAGAATGTACAAGGATGAATAATAAAGATATATTAAACCTCCGACACCAATAGTGCTGCTCCTAAATCAACTGAGAATTTCAACTACATTTACACCCTCTTGGACAAAACACAGCACTATAATAACAGTAGTAAGCTCTTTACATAAAGAACTACAGCCTGAACGTGAACAAAAACCTCTGACAGTTTTTAAACATGATCAACTTTATTGTTGTTTATTGAGCTGCCTACACATCTGTCACATATATACATTGCACATATTCTCTCTACTTCAGACTGTGTAGTTCTGCACATACCTGCATTAACTGTATCAGATCTATCATTTTAAAAACAATGTATTTTACATAATTCTATTGTCCCTGCTATTTGTTTTTCTATCTTTTATTTTGTTTATTATCATGCACCAAAAACACCAAAGCAAATTACAAGTGTGTGAAACCCTATTTGGTATTAAACCTGATTAAATCATATCTATTAGAAGAAATGTGTTGTCTGCTACAGATGCTTAACTGTCATGTCCAATGTAATACAATCAATCATGTAAACCCACACATCCACAGTTAAATTCCAATTTAAAAAAGGACATGAGTAACAAATTTGAGTCACTGTTTCGACAAGAATTAACAAGAAGATGCTGACACACACATGTGGTGTTCAAAAACTTGTCTAGCCAATATCAGGAAATGAGTAATCAAGTGTCACAAAAATATATATATCACTCTTTGAAATTGTGCAAATATACTATTGGAGTCTTGTATGTGTATATATATATATATATATATATATATATATATATACACACACATACATATGTGTCAAACAGCGCTACTACATACAGTAGTATGTAAAAACACTACTAAACTGAGCTCTTGTATTATGCTAGGAACCAAACAAAATGCAGCCTCGCTTTACGTCAATGGCTCCTACTTTACGTCAATGGCTGCTAGCATGACCCATCCCCCACACTGCACACTGGAAAAAAAACACCACTTTCACACAGCTCAACGTACTAAATTAATAAATCAACTTACAAACACGGCGGCGTTGTGTTTTTAAACATTTCCCCCATTAATAATATTATATTTACACTATCCGCCGCCACTTTTAGAGCCGTAAAACAGCCGTCAAAGGAGCCGTTGGCCGTGACTGCCGCATGCTTTGTCTTTTTCAGCATCGCGAGCGACAACGAGGCCATTTTGCGCTAGTAGCTAACAGCTAGCCGGCTAGCTTATGCTAATGCTATGGATTTACGCTTTACGAGCTGCTATGCTAAGCTAACTGGGGCTAAGGTGTTCAGTGAAACGAGGAGAGGGAAATAAAGCGATGGTACAAAACGCTTGGCATTCGTCTCAGTTTGGTTTATTTATTTTTTAGGTTTTTACCATTTAATCACACAAAAAAAAAAAGAATGCTAGCTAAAGCTAATTAGCCTAAAAGTGCCCACCCACACATCCTCCGAGGTCCTTCCTCCTTTTCTAGCCCAAAAACAAGAGAGTTTTCGCCGCGGCTGTGTCTGTTAAGTTCCTTTACAAAAAACAACAAACGATCACCTGGTTACAGCTGGTTTATAAGTCGACTAATCGCCGGGTGGTCGGACGTACTCACCTCGTTGTTTGTGTTATTTTATTCCCGTCTCGGTCATAGGATCGACGGCAGAGAGAAAGCGGAGATCAGGTTCAGATGAGATCATTCATGCCACGGCTTCAAAAAACTGAACTACCTCCGTCCTGCTGCTGCGGAGCGGACGGCAGGAGGGAAGGAAAGGAGGGAAGGAAAGGAGGGGGAGGGGAGAGCCGACAAAACAGACATATGGGATTCTTCTGCAATGATTTTCTCTTTTCTCTCCTCCAATAAATGATTTAATTTGACAAACAAAGTGAAACCCTGTAGTTTGCCTCGAGAAAAACAAAATTTTAAAATATCACAAGTTATTTATGATATTTGTTCTGCAGTTGCTCTAATCTTTTTATTTTTTGAATCAAAGGAAAACAAATGATTAGTAGTGAGTAATTATTCAGAATATTCACAAATTCTAAACATAAAAAGCAGCACCCAGTGGTGGAATGTAACCAAGTATATTATATATTATGTTTCTTTATACTTATACTCCACTATACTTTTATCTGATATAGTTATCTGTCAGATATTACAAACCAGATATTATGAACCAGATATTATAAACCAGATATTATGAACCAGATATTACAAACCAGATATTACAAACCAGGAAACTACAGGTACAACACCAGCCTGGTCCACGGAAACCTTTTTTTTCAAGTAGAACAACACCAGTATGGAACAGCCTGAGTCAAGTAACAGTTAGTGCCTCCTCAGTCAACGCATTCAAGACCAGTCTAGGGAGAGAATGGCAACACCATCAAAGCCAACACCAACACATATTTTCCTACTAATTCACCGTCCAGTCTCACGTTCTGCTTTAACACATCTAACAAACCTTGAGACTCAACTAATTACAGATGAGGATCAAGCCATCACCTTGGTTTAGGGTCTCAATACTCTTAAAGAGTACCTAATGACCTTTACTAAAGGTAAATTACTAAAGGTAAATGATAAGTCAAAATGTCTGTCGTGACAAAGGTCTATAGGTGGCGCTAATGCAGCAGCATAGACATGATCCCTCACCTGCTTCCCACCTTTGAAAACTACAGATAGTAAGATGTTTTCTCAGTATTCAGTGATACGTACCGCAGTAAAAGAAGTGCAGGCTGTCTGAAACCAGAGAGAATGAAACAGTCCCTTCATTTGCCTACTTACTGTCTAATATGTAAATTCAGTGGAATGTGTTTACTGAGAGCCATGCAAATGCTCCAGTCATGTGATTAGTGGTGCATTTAACAATCATCAATGTAAAACTGTGAAAAACGCTCATTGCAGTGTCCAACAGAAAACTCAATGAAATGTATAATATCAAATACATTTTGAACTTAATTTATCCCGAGGGACGCTGCTGTGAAGCGGTGTCACACAAAGTAGGAAAGATTGCAAATATAGAGAGATACTTGTACTTTACTTGAGTATTTCCATTTTATGCTAAATAATATTTCTACTTCACTAAGATACGGAAGTAAATATTGTACTTTTTTACTCAGCTACAATTATGTGATAGCTTAAATTACCTCCCATATTCAGATTAATGATACAAAATATAATCAACAGATTCAGATATATACAACATATAACTAATATTCAGCAACAGTCAACTAATAAATTATATCAATTTAAATGTGCATTGATGTATAATTATAGATTAAGCTACACAGCAGTACATTCATTAGTAAAAATCCCACATTTAATGTACACATTAATGTATCAATAATTATGATCCAATAATATATATATAAATATATATATATATATTTATATATATTATTCTGAAAGTGGTTCTTCAGCAAAATGAGTATTTTGATGCTAATACTTGTGTTTAAAAAAAAACACAAGTACATATGTACTACAGGACTTTTACATGTAGCACAGCATTTTTACAGTGTGGTGTTATCACTTTTACTTCCGTATATACCTGAATACTTCCATCACTCTATTTCTAAAAAGTTGTCTTGTCAATCTCAGATTTTTTTTATACTAAACATAGTACTAGACTAGACATTCGGATCCACACTCCTTACCAGTTGGTGGCGGTAATGCACCAAGTCATTGTAAACCTCAAAAAAGAAGAAGAAGAAGACAGCCAGCAGCAGCCAGAGGCTTCTAGAAACAACGTGCACCGGGACGGTCGCCGGTAAAAACCAACCTGCTCTCTGCACACAACGTTACAGATCAACACGTCGGGCTGAACATGGCTAAATGGGGAGAAGGGGACCCTCGTTGGATCGTGGAGGAGAGAGCCGACGCGACTAATGTCAACAACTGGCACTGGTGAGATATAAAGAAAGGACACTGTCTAGCTAGCTAGCTAATGCTAACATCACACACACACACACACACACTTATATCACATTTATGTCGAGATTACAGCTGTTATTTTTTTAATTTACTTTTAGTCCTATACGTGGATTAACCAGTGTTTCTTATTCATAGACAGATATTGAGTGTAAAATGTAGAATATTATTGAAATAAAGGATTACATTCGAGGGATTTAATCGAGCTAACATTATCTTTTTCAAGTTAGCATCGCTGCTAGCTAGCTACTGTAGCTTCCGATGCCTCTACTGTAGCTTCTAACGCCGCCTCTACTGTAGCTTCTAGTGCCGCATCTACTGTAGCTTCTAATGCCTCTACTGTAGCTTCTAGTGCCGCCTCTACTGTAGCTTATAATGCCTCTACTGTAGCTTCTAGTGCATGTACTGTAGCTTCTAGTGCCTCTGCTGTAGCTTCTAGTGCCGCCTCTACTGTAGCTTCTGACGCCTCTACTGTAGCTTCTGACGCCTCTACTGTAGCTTCTGACGCCTCTACTGTAGCTTCTAACGCCTCTACTGTAGCTTCTAACGCCTCTACTGTAGCTTCTGACGCCGCCTCTACTGTAGCTTCTGACGCCTCTACTGTAGCTTCTGACGCCGCCTCTACTGTAGCTTCTGACGCCGCCTCTACTGTAGCTTCTGACGCCGCATCTACTGTAGCTTCTAATGCCTCTACTGTAGCTTCTAGTGCCGCCTCTACTGTAGCTTATAATGCCTCTACTGTAGCTTCTAGTGCATGTACTGTAGCTTCTAGTGCCTCTGCTGTAGCTTCTAGTGCCGCCTCTGCTGTAGCTTCTGATGCCTCTGCTGTAGCTTCTGATGCCTCTACTGTAGCTTCTGATGCCTCTACTGTAGCTTCTGATGCCTCTACTGTAGCTTCTGACGCCTCTACTGTAGCTTCTGACGCCTCTACTGTAGCTTCTGACGCCTCTACTGTAGCTTCTGACGCCTCTACTGTAGCTTCTGACGCCGCCTCTACTGTAGCTTCTGACGCCGCCTCTACTGTAGCTTCTGACGCCGCCTCTACTGTAGCTTCTGACGCCGCCTCTACTGTAGCTTCTGCCGCCTCTACTGTAGCTTCTGATGCCTCTACTGTAGCTTCTAGTGCCGCCTCTACTGTACCTCTATAGTCCCTTTAGACAACTAATTTAAATGTTTAAAACCGTTTGAGTAACTGTACATATTACTTCAGTTTTTCACAGTATACCATAATATATATCATTATCCCTTGTTGTATGAGTTGTTCCTGGCTAATAGGCGCCTGTTAGTTTATGTCAGATAAATATAATAATTAACGTTTAAGTTGCTTAAGATGGGTAATTTATCTGACATCATGTCTTCTTGTGTTGTCAGAATGATGTCATTGTGTAGTCTCCCTGTAACTTATGTATCGCTGACGTAGAAGTAGACTTAACGTGACACTAGAATAAATAAGCGGATCATCTCAGGCAAGTTTGACGTTAATTATATTTATACTACAATGAAACTTCTGTGAATAAGAAAAAGAAGATGTGAGTTTTGTGCCGTTTACCCATTTCTGACGCGCTCACTTTGCAGGACCGAACGAGATGCAACAACCTGGTCGTCGGACAAATTAAAATCCCTGCTCCTCGGTTTGAGCGTGGAGAACGACGAGGGGAGGTGTGAGGTGACAGAAGTGAGCAAGGTGGAAGGAGAAGCCTCCATTAACAACCGCAAAGGGAAACTTATTTTCTTCTATGAATGGAACCTGAAGGCTACTTGGACCGGTGAGTAGAAGACCGAGGCTGGAGGAATGCACAGGAAACTAACTCAAGCTGCATTCTTTAGTGCTCGTTTCCTGTAAAATGAGGACCACGTTCTCATTTTGTCAGTCTAATGCTTCTTAAATTAGAAAAGGACGGCTAGAAGAGGACAGTAACTCAACAGCTGATCAAAAGCTGTTGTAATTATAGAGAAGAAAGAGGAATAAAGAGGCTTTGAGTCTCTGCTGACATCTGTGTTGTCTTTGTTTTCCCAGGAGAGTCCAAAGCAGGAGTCAAATATACGGGAACCATTGACGTTCCCAACCTTTCTGACGAGAACGACATGGAGGATCTGGATGTAAGTCTCGCAGAGATCTTCTGTGTATTTCTAACTGACTGACTGACTGAGCAGCGTGCTGACGACCGCTCTGTGATTTTTGTCCAGATTTCTGTATCGTTGAATAAAGATGAACCGGAAACGCCGCTGACCAACCTGATGAAGACAAAAGGAGCAGATACAATCCGTGAAGTCCTGGGGAGCTACGTCGGGTTCTTGAAAACAGGCGAGTGAAACCAGAGAAGATGTTAATTACAACAGAAAGGTTCATTCAGTCATCAGGCTCAAGTGATCGTCACAACAGTGTTGATGATTCTTTTTTAAGGTTTAGGGTTTACAGAGATAAGCATGTGAAGTCGAAGTTAAAAAGTGCTGTGTGAAAAATGTAATAATAACCCTATAAAAGCAACACAAATGCTATTGAATCTAAGTTTGCTACATGTGGAGACGTTTAAATCTTTGTTTTCTCTAAGACTGTTAAAATCTACATAAAAGTCTTTTTCAATAGTAGACTTTATTTGTTAAAATATTGACTATAAACATCCTCATTATTTCTCGAATGAAGAGTTTTACAGTTTAGTTATTTAGTGCTTGTTTGTTTAAAGTGGAATTCCTTTTGTATTTTTGTTATTTAAATACTTTTAATTCAGCGAGGATGAATAAAAAGTGTTTTTTAAGCTCACTTTGTTGTGATTGCAGAGTTCACTCAGGGAATGATCCTGCCGACAGCCAACGGTGTGTCCAAGTCCACGTCACAGTCCAAGGCCACAGTGGACAACACTCGGGTACGTCGCTCACTAAATGTCTCCAGCCATTGGCCACGTTCTACATTTACACACAAAACTCTAAATGATTCACTGTAACAGAACCGTCACGCTGTTTTCCTCGTGGGAGCAGCAGCAGCAGCGATCGTCGCTCATCAGACTTTTGTTCTTTGAATAGATTTCCTCCTCGAGCAGCACAGCTGCTCCCGTCAACACCGGCGTCAAGATCCCCACCTGTAAGTTCAGCATGAGGGAGAAGTTCCTCACCTGCCCGGCTGATCTCTACCGCGTCTTCCTCAACCAGGAGGTGAGCGTCACCTGGTTATCCTCTCGATACCACCTCTTCAGTCCTGATACCAAGTACCGACCTGATACCAGTGTTTCATTAACGAGCTGTGTGTGTGGAAGAGACTGGAGTCTCTTTTATGTGAAGGCAACGACGAGCTTGACTTAAACATTCTTTCCTTACTTTGTAAAACTAAAGGTAACAAGTAAATACATAGATATAAATGCACTGAGTTGCTATTTTTTAAGATAACGGTATCCAAGAGCAGATGGGCCTCGTGTCACCGATACGAGATCCAGATATTTGTGTCGGCACCGGACCGATATTTAATATCAAAGGAAAGAATAAGCCAACCAATACAAATGTTACGGTTAAAAGCACCAACTACTGTCTGCACAGCAGCCCTCTCCTCCTACAGCTGAAGACGGGTTAGATGCAGAGCTCAGCTTTCATGCTTGTGTGTGATGATTATAATAAAGTGTTTTTGTTTTTGGTGAATGTGCAGATGACCCAGGCGTTCACTCACGCTCCGGCGACGGTGGACGGAGAGAAAGGAGGGAAGTTCCGTCTGTTAGAAGGAAATGTTTTTGGTGAATTCACAGAGCTGGTGAGTCTCAACCTTTCATTCTCTTAACTTTTATACTAATAATGATTGTATTTGACTGTGTTTCTTCTCATATGCAGCTCATTTACTCATCATTATATAACTTTTAAACTATTAAACTGTCTCCATTTCTATGTTGTAAAGCACTTTGTAACCTTTGTTTTGAAAAGTGCGTTAATAAAGTTTATTATTATTGTTTGAATCATAAAGTACAATGACAAATCCACCAATTGCAATTTTCTTGGCCGATTAGGATTTTATATATATATGGAATATGTTTATGTGATTATCAGACATGCAGAGTTAAAGGTGTTTTTATTTTTGTGTTATTTGACCACATACGCTTCAGATGAAATGACTAAATGTTAACAATGAATCCTCTCCTCAGGTACCTGATGAGAAGATAGTGATGAAGTGGAGGTATAACAACTGGCCCTGTGGTACGTCCATCTATTTATAATATATTTATTTTATATTTAAAGAGCCGCGTGTGACAGTTTGACTTAAATTATATCGATTCAAACATGCTGAACATCACTTTTTTATTATAAAGCTACATTTGCAGAAACAAATTTTGTAAAAACTGCCAAACATTGGCCATTCTTTTTCATATCACAAAAAAATTAAGATTTAAAGGATTTTTTCCTTATTTCCTTGTACAACATACACATTAAAACTATCTATGTTCTTAATTTGAAGGTGTCTTTATGGTATGCTACGTATCTATTATAAACTCAAAATAATGTTTCCTTTTACCGTGTTTATTTACTAGTCAAGGTTAAAGTGTAACTTTGTGACTCTGAGAAACCTCAGTGAGACAGTCGATACGATAAAATGAACTAAATGAACTAAATAAAATAAGTAAAATAAATAAAATAAGGTGATTTAAAGGAGATTACTGATGTTAAAGTGTGTCTCTGCTCCACAGAGCACTACGCCACCATCTCCATGTCGTTCTACGACCGCAGCAGCGAGACGGAGCTGAAGGTGGAGTGTCGGGGCGTCCCGGACGAGGAGGAGGAGCGCACGAGAGAGGGCTGGCAGAGATACTACTTTGAAGCGATTAAACAGACTTTTGGCTACGGAGCGCGACTCTACTGAGGACGCCTTTTCGCTGTAGTTGACTGTTTTCTTCTCTTGTTTGGATTTTGTTTTTTTAACTTCTTGTTCCTCCGATCTCTCTGGCACAAGATGTCCCGCTGTAACAACTTATAGCTCGAGTTGACAAAAGAGACAATGAGGTGATTCCGTCACCAGTCTGAGTGTAAATGTTTTAATTTTTTCATCGTATTTAAATCTAGATTTGTCCCCGTCAGTATTTGGGTCAGTTGTTCAAAAGGAGCGTAAATGGATTAAATAAAAGAGCTATTGAACCACTAATGCAAATCTATAAATATGTAATTACTGCAAGAGTTAAAATAAATGTTTTGGTTTTCTTTTACTAAAAAAAAAAAAAAAAAGATATTATGTTGCTTTTTTTTCTACTTCTACTCTTTTCAAGTGTAACTGTGGTAAAGATGCATGTTTCATTTCCATGACTACTGGATCAGAACTTCATGGTGAAGAACGTCTCATTGAGACTTTATCATGTTCGTCCAGCTCGGACCTTCAGCGGGAGACGTCGCCCATCGTGCAGCTAGCTAGCGTAGCAACTCAAGTCACACGGTTTGCTAGATTTGACTTTCACGGGTAAATTTACAGTAAAAAAAAAAATGGTTTTCAGAATAAAATGCATTTATTTATTCGTCATTTCACCTCACGATGTAAAAAGATTAGTTTCTTGGAATAAACCAATCCCTGTATGCTCTTGATTTGTTTTTATTTTTGTGACCTTTTATACTTCACATTAAATCACAGATGTTGAAACTATTTATTTACAGTTTGATTACATTTCATATGCAAAGGTTTACCGTCTTTAAAACGTTCATTTACAAGTGCTTTAAATATTAAACGCTCTAAACAAGCCAATCAGGCAAATATTTAGCAAAACAAGCACTTAGTTTAGTTTTAAAGGCTGCAGCATAAAATTGTATGAAAAACTCTTATTATAATAATCTGTTATTGGAACTGAACCGTAATCTGACCAGAGCATAGTTTCATATCAATGCTCAAAGAATGCTTTAAAGCAAATTGCCTGAACAAATGAACTAATTGGCAGTTCAATCACATCATTTAAGTTCATTATACTTTAGTGTAAACTTACAGTGCAGTTTACTTTGAACAAATCTGCTACAAACAAAAAGGGCTTCTAAACTATATCTCACCAAATAAAACAAAAGCAGCCAGAGGTCTAAAGTATTACATAACCTAATAATAATAGTTAATATCCTCACGTTAACCCGCAAAGTTTAAATAAAGATAAACGTTTAAACTCAAGTGAAATGATGCGAGTTCCTCTGGTTAGTCGCTCACAAGCAGATGAAGAGCTCCGACTCCTGGAAGAAACAAAGCAATGAGCTTAACAAACTCGTAATAATTGAACATATTTCTGAATGACTTCTTGTCGTCTCCTCTTTCCTCAGCTTAGGAAACGAATAAACTATTTTATTCCACATAAGAAACAAACTACATGTTAATAAGAGAAGAGTAGAGCTGGAGTCTGATGACCATTAAAGCCTCAAGGGGTCGCTATTAACATTTAAAGCCTTTTGGTCTTGTTGGTTGAGAGTTCAACTACCAACACAAACTGCTGCCTGAGTGCCTCTGAGCAAAACCATCCAACCTTTTCCTATCTAATGTGTTTTCATTGATACGTACACCGGAGCTGGAGTCGTTGTCCAGTGAGTCGCGGCTCCGTCGAGGTGCGATTTCTGCCACTTCAGCAGCTTTTTTAACAGACATGTCGCGTCGTTTAGACCTGAAAAGAACATCATGTAAAATAAAGATTAGAAACGATGAGTCAGCTAACCGGATAATCAGACAACAGAAAACTAATATTGTTTCATGCAAAACATTCCACATTTGTTGTTTTTTGTTGTCACATATGAGAATAATTCTTTCTTGGTTTTGGACTGTTGGTCGAACAAAACAAGCAATTTAAAGAAACTAATTTAGATTTGATTCAAATGGTTATTTGACTGATTGAGTAACAAACACGTAGAGCCCTGATATAGATTTACTGTGAAGACTACACTGAGATACTTGTGTCATTGCAATATCCAGCATTTAAAACAAAACATAACCTCACTCTCATAATATTTTAATGTAACTCATCTTAAATGCATCTAAAAGTGCCAATAAACGGCTGTTCTCTGAGAAGATGATAGACTAACACAGGCTGTAAATGATCACAGCTGATGAGACATGTTTCTACCTGAACGTCGGCCACATGCTCATCCCTCTGTCGTCCTTCTGGCCGGCCGAAGACGAAGCTCGCTCTACCAGGTCTCTGAGGAAGTGGAAGAGCTTCTCAAACTCGATGCACTGCTTCCTACACACAAATATGAAGTATTCTTTCATTGTCCTCCCTTCAAATACACACAGCAAAACATTTCATAAATATAAACATGACTTAAGGCATCACATTCTACTACATCACGTTCACGCTGAAAGTAACGATAAGGAGTCTAAATTTGTTTAATTGTTGTGTTTAAAATTAAACTGTGGAAGATGAAAGACAAATTAAATCTTTAGAAAGTCATTTGTCGCCGTTCCATTGATGTTCATCTGTATCTTTTCTTTGATTTCTAGAATACCAATTTCAAAATCAGGATACTATGAAGATGAAAGTGCATGTTGTACAATTTTAGTTTGTCATACAGGCAGTGAACGCATCACAGCTGGATTAGTCCTTATTTCTTCTTCACTGCTATTTACTGAACGATATCAGTCGGATTTAAAGATAATTAACGACTTCATATCGACTTCCACACGTCTGAGCAGAAGCTTGTACTCACATGTGAGCGACGGACACGACGGCGCTGCGCTTCGACTGAGTTATCAGACAGGTTTTGGTGAGCAGAGACTTCAGGAACATTTCCAGAGCTCGAGCTGATCGCTGCAGTTCAGGACATCAACACATCTCTACACGTCTGCTTAGAGGCGATACAAGTGGAAGTAAAGTCGCTGTCTTCCATCTATATGTGACGGTTCCCTCCAGGACTACAGCACAAAACAGATTGTATCACCTGCAGGGATTCTCTTTGGGGGAATATCTTATTGAATTATTAACTTCTTTTGTCAATTAATGCCTCATTTAAAAGTAGCAGTGAATTAAAATGAAAAAAACTGCACCAACTTCCAGAACAACTTTTGATTTGGTCTGTTCAACAATGGTAATGCAGTAAAAGTCCTGCATTCAAAGTAGAAAAGTACTAGCATCAAAATATACTAAAAGTACAAAAGAGTAAGAATACTCACTATGCAGAACGACTCATTTTAGAATGAAATAAATGTTGTGGAGTAGAAGTAGAAAGTAGCATGAAATGGAAATACTCACGTAAAGTACCTCATATTGTACTTAAGTACAGTACTTGAGTAGATATACTTAGTTACATTCCACCACTGGTACTGAAAATGTGTCACGTGCTGTGTGGTACATTTAGGTTAGAATTAGATCAAGGCCATAGAGGAGCGACTACAACTCCCAGCATGCTTAGGGAGGAGTTGGAGGGAAACAGAGAGGGAGAGGACTGCTGCAAAACAACAAATGTATGAAAGATGAATCAAAAGCAGCAACACCTCCAGAGAGATGAGTAGTTCTTTATACAGCAGTACACACACACACACACACACACACACACACACACACACACACAGTTAATTAATGTAAAAGTTTAAAAAGGATACAGATGATCACAGGAACCGCCACAGCAATCCTCCCCACCTCTGCGTCCTTCTGCATGATCTTTTTAATGCGACTCTGGGAACAAAACAAAACAAATCTAGGAATTCACAACTTTAAGAGACATCACATGAAGTTACACTGCTGCATTCAAAGGCTCCTCGTAAACCAGAGCCTCCTAGATCTGAAGTCATGAAGGCAACATGTAAAGCAGTCAGAGCTCACATTTCTAATGGATTATAAATATACCACAGACAATAGTTTCATTAAATGGTTCATTTGTCATTCATTCATTCATTCATTCGGTAGCAGTTAACACCTATGACTGTACCCATATGTGCACATATCTATGTTTACATTTAATAAATCCATATCAAAGAAGATTCAAAATACCAAAGAAGAACTGAAACAAAACAGACGCACCAACATGCAGCAGTTTGTTACAGAACACATCAGTTATTTGCAATTAAACGATTCATAAATCATCCATGAATCTGCCCTTTATACAACTGATCTATGTATTCTCATTCATCATTTCTTTATTTTTTATTGTACCTCTTTATTATCCTTCATTTTGTGCAACTTTTATGTTTTTAACAGTTTAAATTTGTCATCTTGTCTCGTCCAAACGAGACCAGATCTGAATATATATATATATCTTACCTGTAAAGTGCATTCCCGTCACCCGATGCTACATGAACGCCGCTAACCGTTAGCTCGAGTCCTTTCTTTAACTTTAAACAGCTTAATTACACTAAAATAAAGTTTCTACTCACGGGAGGGAAGCGTACATTATATCTTCTCTTATGTCCGGACATTTCACTCGCTTTAATCCGCGCGGTTCGGTCACATTGTTCATGTTTTTACCGCAAACCGCCGCTGAATCCATTTGTTTACCTTCAGCAGGAACACACACCTGAGGTCAACCAGCGCGTGACCCCAATAATGACGTCATGACCCCCGCAGTGTCCCTTTCTAGTTTCTAATAAACAATAACACATTATATTTAAAAGGATAAATGATAATAAAATGTATTGTTTGAAACTCATCATATCAAAGGAATACAAATAAATGCATTTGTTTTAGTATTTCACATTCAATGTTATCCTCTTTGAGTTATAAAGATTATAAGATTATGTAAGATATATAAGTTCCAAAAGTTACACTTTTAACTTTTGTCTCAAACTATTATCATTTAAATGTCTAAAAAAGCCCCAAACTGTGGAAACATTAGATACAAGATGTGATAAGAAAAGTGAAGTACATGTTCAAAGATTCTACTGGTATAAATGGCCTCTCCCTTACTTACAGTATGTAGTTTTTCCCACAAATTCAGGTAAACTGACATAAAACTTCTCCAGAACATGAACTCAAGTATTTGACAGCAGCTGAGTTTACGGTTAGAGATCAAAGATGCTCTTTGTTGGTTGTCTGAAGATGAATATCTTACAATTTATTTCACATAAATACTATAAATTACTTACTTTCATGAATAAAAACATTTGCATCCGTCATGTCTGCAGACGATGTAAAATTATGTGTTTACATCTCAGTAATTTTGCACTTATATTGCACTTAAGAATATGTATGTTTTCGTTTATTTATTATAATCTATGTATTTCATGTTATTTCTTGACTTGTTTTGGTCTTTTACTTTGTTTGTATTGACGCTAATGCACCACAACAACGAGCTGATGTGAAAACATACTCGGCAATAAACCTGATTGTGATTTATGAGAAACAGTCAACTTTGGGATCGATGTGATTGTTCTCTGTTGATGTAAAGAAATAAAAGAAACAAAAAAAACAAGACAAAAAGCAAAACATCAAAGCACATACACACATTTTAAGACCCCTGTCACATAAGAGCATTTATGACAATCATAACTTCACAACGACAGATGAGACTGAACATGAGCCAATACACCAAAATACGCTTAGTTATACGCTTTATGTTTCAAAGAAAGGAACTGAATGAACTGCTTTGTTGTTTGCCAAAAATAAAGTTAATTCAAGCTCCACTGATCAGCTTTTCTGCAGGTTTAACAATCTTCATCAGCAGATGGAGTGAGATACGTTGAGTGTATGTTTTGTCAAATAACAAAGCTCTTCATATTGCTTTTTTCTTTAATTTCTAATTAGAAACTACTAATTAAAGTGTACATGAACATGATGTACTCTTAACTTGGTGTTTTCCTCTATGTACTCTTATTTATCTAGGTACAAAGTCGTGTTTAACTTCAAACAATCTTCTGGGCTGAAGAGTTAAAGACCATTAAGACAACATGGACTGCAATTATGAATCAATTATCGACAGTTTATGACTGAGAGGCTCTGGTTGCACGAATGACTACAAAGGTCAAAGATATGAGAATCCTCATGGAGATTATTTAAACACCGATAAAGCTTCAAACCTGTTTTTATTTCTACATTTGTGTTTCCTTTGGGGAGACAGACGACAACATGTTACCAACACGTGTGCTGATCGTAGTGTGTTTATTAGCTGCGTGTCATGCAGACGGTGAGCTTTAGAATATCTCAACGAGTAGTTTCTAAAAACACCTCCTTTATTCTACAGTGTTTAAAATGTTTCTTCTCTCTTGCAGGCTTCACATTAAAGGAAGAAGAAGATTTCAACCAGGTATCGTTCAAACATTCCACACTGTTTTCTACTGTTTCTTTCTGTTCTAAACTTCTCGTGCAGGTTTCATCCCATGTTCTGTATTTATGGTTCAAGTTATTCTTTATTTAAGGAGCACTGGTTTTAAACCTGTTGCTGCTGTAAATACGCTCTAAATACGTTAAATACACTTTTTCATTAAATATCCAACCTGAAAAATAAAATGAGCCAGTAAATGATGTATAGCTACATTTTATTTATATATTTATAAACAGTTTATTTTTGCATTATTATTATTATTTGCTGTATTAAGTATTTTGTAATGATTACCAAATGATTTGTGAACAAAGGAATTGTTTGTAAAACATCTATAAACATGGACTACAAAACAATTATTAACTATTGATAAAGTATTGACTGTCTATCTAAATAAGGGTTATAGATGCTTTACAAAGTACTTATTAACCGTTTAACAGTATAATAATGTTTTCAATCTGCATCAAGATGTTTTGTTGACGGTTTAAAAAACTATTAATAACGATTTACAAAGTGTTACTGAATGTTTAACAAGCTTTACTTAAAGGTTTACAAATCATTTGGTAATCACTGAAATATGCTCAGTATACTACATGAAATGTTATAATGTGTGCAACAATAAATAACTAACTAAAGTTTATCTATTTATTAATGATAGTGATACCTATTTATCAATTCATTCTTTGATAACATGTCTTGTAAAGTAATTCATTTAAAGGCCTGATGCAGACATTCAACACAGCTTTAGATATAGTTAGAGATATATAATAGAATGCTCACAATATATAACTGTTAACATTGAGCAGGTTTGGTTTTAATAGCTGCTAATGCTAAAAGAAGATTGATTTTAACCACTTTCACACCTCAACCCATAAATCTTCCTGCGTTTTTGGTTGTTTTGGGGAAGCAAGAGCTTGATTCTGCATTAAATATTTCAGTTTTTGTTGTATTTATTTCCCGAGCTCTGTGTCAGGAAGTCTTCCTCTGTGGTTTAGTGGGAACAAAAGCAGCAACAGTCCCACATAAAGGACCAAAGAGGTCGCAGAGCGAGCGAGCGGATCACTAGTGTCCAGTCAGCTGTGGTCTGGACTCTTTACAACACATGGCTGCCAGATTTAGCTACTGCAACTTTTGGGGGGTTCAGGTTCAGGCTGAGTGTGCGGCACTCGGACCGGTGTTGGGCCAGAGTTAGCACTTAGGCCAGTACACGTGGTGCATTATTCATCAGGAGTTCAAGCAGAGCATTATGTCTAGCATTACCCCTTCCTATCAAGAATGGTTGTGTAATGTCAGGAAAGACTTGACGTGGATGTTTTTCTGTGTGAGCAACGAAAGTCTTGGACCAGGAAACCCTCATTGAGATTAAACATGTGTCATGGTGGACATAGGCAGCGATAACGACGAGATACAGACATAACAATAATAAACCACATCGGACAGACCTAGCCACGAAATCTGAATTACACAGAAATGTGGTTATAAAATCACAAATATAATTTCCAATACAATCACGAAGACAGATTTCATCCTCAAAACAACCACAAGTGTACTTTAAAACAACTCAATTCCTCAAAAGGTTCCTCAAAAGGTTCCTCAAAAGGTTCCTCGTTCCTGGGAAAGGTCCATGAGGGAACCCTCGAGTTAGAACTCCTAAACTTTAAACACATAAACCGTGAGAATGTGTCGTGTGATTCTTTTCCTGCAGGATGTTCTAGGAACAGACTTTCTCCGGCGGCGTCTGCATCCTTCGTTCCTTTGTCCGGATATGAGTCCCTCTCCCACCGTCCCAACCTCAGGTGAATGTCCCTTCACTAGCTTCAACCAGCTTCTGTTCTTCCTCGTTTCACCAGCAGATATGGTGCTTCTTACTGCACCATAAATAAATAAGACTGTATATTATTATAGGTTAAGATTTGGAAAGGTTTGGTCTTAAATACTGTTTTTGTGAGGGAACAGAAGAAGTTTATTTTAATCTTTAATCCTTGGGAAATGTAATGGGTTAGTTTAAATTAGATATTCTGCCTGAATAACACTGTGTGTGTGCTTATAATATTACTATATAATAGCTCTATTTCTTGTGTTTGTTTGTCTTCTGTTCCAGTTGAGTTTGTGAAAGCTGCAGACGTGAAAGTCATCGCCGCGCTGGGAGACTCTTTAACGGTGACAGAAGTTTTCTTTCTGCACAAAATTCTAGAAATAGAAATTGTAACAAATGTATTTATCTTTAATATGACAATGAACTGTAAACGTTTATGTTATTATGTAAATCATTACAGTTTATAGTGGAATCCATTTCATGCTAAAGTAAACTTAAATGACTTAAAGAGCAGCAGGTTCATGTTTTAGTATTCATACTTAACTTTTACTGAAAACGTAGAAACGTTCATTCTCAGGTAACAAAAGCACAAATGTTCTTATTTTTAGGTGACTATACACGAAAGAAAACATAATAATATATTCATCTAAATGCTGCACACTGTTCCTTTAAGAAGGAAACCACCAGAAACAATAACAACACAATAAAGAACAATTTACTCCTTAATGTAACCCATAAAAATAATTTAAAAAGTAATGAAACATTAGATTTAATGTCATGACAGTGTTTCTCCTCATGAAGAATATTGTCTGTATGTGTTTTTATTTGCAGACAGCTATTGGTGCCAACGGTTCCACGATTCTGTCGATACCTTTTGAATTTCGCCAAGTGTCCTGGAGGTAAATCATCGCCTCCATTTGAGATAATCTTGTTTTATTTTGGAACCAATCAAGAACAGTCTGAGAGGATTTATACCCATCGGTAGCCTGAAAGCTGCTAATTGTTTTAGCATAATTCAGTTACTTCATTTAAAGGACGGGTTAGTAATCCTCTTCAAAAACATATTTTATGTTTTTGTTGAAAATGGGCGACCGGCCTTATGTGTGTTATTTACTTTCTTTATGGGTCTGTCTACATTTTTATAGTTTATTTTTTTGGTTTAAGCCAAAAACTGAGGGAAAAAACAGAAATACTATTTTTTTTCTAAATAAAAAGCGGAGCTGTGTTTCTCTGTTTTTATTGTCGGAAACAATTTCAGTTGATTTTTGCTTTTTATTTGGGGGTGTGGCTTATGAGGGAGGCCTGAAGGAACGGGCTGTCGGACTTTCTCGCTAGATTTAGCAACTTTTGGAGCTAATGCTGCTTTCATTGTTGGTCAACACTGAGCTGATACGATGTTGGAGACTTTTAAAGGTCTAGCTTACTCTTGCTAGTTTCTCAAGAATACCAACCCTGCCTTAGCTTTGATATCATGTAGCCAGTCTCATTGTAAGTATTGTGATGATTTGTGCATGTTGGTCTGACTTCATTCATCAAACACTGTCTCTCTCCCTTCTTCTGAGTTCAGCATCGGAGGATATGGAACCTATCAAAATGTCATCACACTGGCAAGTAAGTTAATTTATAGTCACAATATCATAACTTCAATGTGTAAAAGCTAAAGACCACAGACGTCTGGTTTAGCAAATTAAAATAGCCGACCTACGCTATCATTTAGTTTTGTGGGATAACTTCTCCTGCAGAGATTGAGATTATTTCTCCAAAAGATGTTTGTAAAACTAAAAACCCTTCATTCCAGGATGACTTGGCTTCTTTGTACCAAAACAATCTGTGTCTTTATAAAGCATTCTGTTTTGGTATAAAAAGAGGTATTGTCATGATCTCAGGATCCTTTCTTAAACTTTAAAACGTTTCGCTGTCCAGATATTTTCAGACTCTTCAGTCCCAGACTGCTGGGTCCATCCCCCGCGAGGACCTTCCACGGTCAGCCAACGACCGTCAACGAGACCGGCTTCAACTTCGCTGTCACCGGCCACAACACGCTGTGAGTCACTCACACTCTGTAGGATCCGTTTATTTCTTCTTTGGATTTGATCATGACTCAATTCAGTGTTTGTCTCTTCTGTTGGTTTGTTGAAAACTCAATGTGAGCTGTGTGGAGTTTCAAACATTTAGGAGAATCTTTGGAAAAGTTAAATAACGAAATAATGGAGTGTAATGTCAGACTGTACAATAAAGTCTTTATTGATCACCAGAGGGGAGAATATACAGGATACAATATACTTTATATATAATAATGTTAAAAGTAACATAAGAATAGAAGAAAATAACAAAATGATAGCATACGCAGACAGCGTACACAAGATTAATAAATAACTAAATAATAAAATAAAATATATAATAAAAACATAATTTTCATCATGCAACTGTCGGAAACGTCAAGAGTGTCTTCAAGATGTTTTTCTTTGAGGTCAAAGATCAAAATAACTACGGTTGTAAATGATTTGATAATGTTTCATGGATAACATGGTGACTCAACAGTCTGTGTGTTCTCCTGCAGAAACGTCTCCGATCAGATACGACACATGATCGACACGTTCAAGTCTTATCCAGTGAGTCTCGTCTCTCTGCTCTTTAATATATATTCTTCATTTCTCTTCTTGGTGCGACGTTCAGAAAACAAGTCTTCTCTTTCAGGGTCTGAGCTTCGAGGAGGACTGGAAGGTGGTGACGATGCTGATCGGCATGAACGACATCTGTGACTACTGTAAAGACAAAGTGAGAGATTCGCTTTCTGAAAAGTCTGCACTCGTGTTTGATTTAAAGTATAGTGTGTGTGGGCGCGTCGGTTCACCGTGACGTCACTGGTGGGTGTGGTTACAGGTCTATTCAACCTTTTAAATTGAACTCTTTACATTTGGTACATTTTCTGCTAAACTGGAAAAGCACACAAAGAGCACAGGCCTCCACGAAATAAGTCTATCCGCTGCGTGATTCGTACCGGCTCCTCAAAACACGTGTTGGTCAAATTAAAACTTCCTGTCGGGCTAAAAGACACAGGTTCTTAAAGATGAGAGCAATGATCCCGCCAAATTTCACGAACATCAAAGGATCCTTTGGGCCAATTTTGCAACTTAGTGCTGAATTTCCGTGGGTTTTTGAACATCCAAGGCTCCATAAAGATGTGATTCGTACAAAAGAATAATTATAATCTTAACAAAAACCATAGGTTCCTGACTAGAAGAGCACTCAGACAGCACAGACCTCTGCCAGAGAAAAATAATTTGTGTATCTGCCCTAAGATTCTGATCCACTCCAGTATTCTGGAGGATTCTGAATTGGTTCTTCCTTGGCCGAGGTTACACCCTTACACCAAGTTTCATGATAATCGGACGAGTGTTTTTTCCGAAATACTGCTGACAAAAAACACAACGAAACACTGAACATCCTCGTCTTCTCTCCCACAGACTCTGTTCTCTCCCGACAACTTCATTCACTACATGACCGAAGCTCTGGACACGATGATGAAGGAGGTAAGATGCTGAAAGTCAAAACTAGATGTAATAGTCTGGCGGCCTCTTTACACACCAGGAAACAGAGTGTGTCAACCTACATAAAGTTATCAGGTTTTAAGAGATTTACGAAAAATCAAGTGAAGATATTTCAGTCTGGACCGACATCGCCGTCCCTACAGGCCCGGTGCTAAAAATAGAAAAACAAAGGCAGGGTTCAACTTACACCGCTGAGAGACTATGCAGACAGTTTCATTGATTAGAAACACTCTTAAAGATGTAATGCTGTCTGTGAACTGTGTTTCCTAAGTTGTGAATGTATTGTGGAACAGTTTCTTCATGTGAAATGCTCGCCTCCCCTTTTGTTTGTCCTCCACTCCACTTTCACACTGAAACCATGAAGTATGAGAAAGAAGAGGTCCAGACATTTAATAAAAATACACTCTTTAGTCTGGAGAAGTGGTTTCAGTTGATGAACGTGATCCTCTGGTTTCAGATCCCCAGGACCATCGTGAACGTGGTGCAGATTCTCTCCATGAAGCCTCTCAGAGACGTTCAGAGGCCGACTCTGGGATGTCAGCTACAAAAGTTACCTGCACATTTTTAACTCTTAATCTAAAACCTCTCAAATGAAACTGCAGGAGCGAAATATTACCACCGAATTATGTTGAAAGATAGTGGTGGAACGTAACTAACAGTCTTTAAATCAACAGTTGATAATAATTATAGCAACATTTAGTATTGTCAAACTGAACTTTTTTATTTAATGTATTAACTTCCTGAAATGGGAATAATCTTTTTCAGCACTCTTAATCTAACAATGGTGAAAATATGTTTAACATTGACTGCTTGAGCGATGGAACAGAGACGCGTGTTAAAAAACAATATAAGGAAGTTTACACATCGACAGTATGTATATCTATTGGTGGAGGAAGTATTCAGATCCTTTACTTAAGTATTGTGAAAATACTCCACTACAAGCAAAAATCCTGCAAGTATTAAAATACATTTTAGACATAATCCCAAATCTCAAAACTGATTCTTAATTATATGATCTGAGGATGACCAATCATAACTGATCTGTTAGTTTGATAACCTGATCATCCAATAGTTTGATAATCTGCTCACAGGAGTTTCTGCTCGTGTCTCGTTCAACCTGAAGAAAACTCCAGCGAGCTGAAGGAGCTGGTTGAGATTAACACTGAATTCCAGGTGAGTGAATGAAGATAATTAGACTGTCTATTCACGGCTCAACCCACAACAGACGTGACGAGGACGTCGTGCTGTCAGGCTGTAAAACATCGTACCTCTCCTTGTTGTTGCAGAGGAGATTAGAGAAGCTTCTGCACGGAGAGCGCTTCTTCAAAAAGGACTTTGCTGTTGTTCTGCAACCTTATTTAGAGAAGGCAGAACTGCCACAACTTCCTGTAAGTCTCACGCTGTCAACCGGTTTTCATTACTTATCAATCATTATTTTATTAGTGATTTTATTTTGTGCTCCAGGACGGGGCGATTGACTTGAGCTTCTTCACCGCAGATTGTTTCCACTTCACTGTTAAGGGACACGAGGAGCTGGCAAAGGGACTGTGGAACAACATGGTGGATTTTATTATTATGTTTAATTAGCTAAAAGTTTGGTTTGGATGTGATTCCTTGTGGGCTCACCCTAAATATAGATAAGATAAATGAAATGAAATGAAATTTATTTATTTTTTTAATGTTATTTTTTTAATTTAATTTATTTTATTTTATTTATTTTATTTATCCAAGATAATCCCATCGAGATTTCTAATCTCTTTTACAACATTAAAACATTTTACCACATAAAAACACAGAAAACTATGGAAATCCATTTCCGCCAGCAAAAAAAAAAAAAAGGTAACTAAAAAAATCTACCAAAAAAAAAAAAAAAAAGATTTATTGTTTTTGCTGGCGAAAAAAAAGAAAGAAAAAAAAAGATTATTTTTTTAAATATTTTTTACTTTTTTTCCACCAGCAATAAAAAAAAATAAAATAAATAAATGCACCAACACTTTTGGTGCATCCATCTGTAACCATAACACTGACCAGATGTTATAGAAAGTATAAATGATGAGTCATAGAAGCAGCTCTTCATAGGTTTCCCTACATTTGATACATGGATTGTGAGTACATTGAAGACTTCTTTAAACGTGGCTTTACAACAGATAAAATACTTAAATTGCTTGATGTTTCACATGGATTGTACTGAGCAAACGCACCCTTGAATAGAACTTTAAGCAAGAATCAGCTCTGGAGTATAAAGAATAAAACCAATGTGGCTGATGTTATAATCTACATATAATTTCATTGATATTTGTATCAATACGTTTGATAAAAAGTGACTTAATATTCAGTGTTGATGCATCAGATTCTACATAAAGTCAGAATTAAACTTCTTCTTCAGTTCCAGCCGGTCGGAGAGAAAGAGGTGATCGAGACATTTTCAGAGCCGGTAAAACTCCTCTGTCCATCAAAGGTACAGCTTCCTGCTGGAGATCTTCATGTTTGTGTTTGTTGTTAATAACATTACCATAATGTATATATATATATATGTTCTCATGTTCTCCAGGAGCATCCTTACATCTACACCCGACCCCGAGTGGAGTCGTCTGCAGCGACGCTGAAACGTTTCTCTGTGCCGCTGATGTCTCTGCTCTCTGTGTTTAACTCTCTGTAGTCCAACAGGCTGAGCAAGGCACCAGCGCTGCCTGGAGTTGAGGGTTTGATTCCCACCGGAGCCTCCAGTCCCACTATGACTTCTTTTGTGTGAAAGATTTTGTCAGTTTAAAACGCTTCAGGCGACAGTTCGCATCTTCAATGGATTTATTTTTTATTAAAACCTTGACCAATATACTGTATTTTGTTTGTGCATTGGTGGTGTTTCCTCTTCTGTGATTAGATATATTAAATATAGATATATTAAATATAGATATATTAAAAAGGTGTCTGGACATTTGCTGAAAATATGAATATATCAACCAAGCAAAATAAACACATTATCCTCGCTGCCAAACTTAAAAACTTGAATGAAAACTTTTTACCGTTTTGTTTATAATCTCAACTAAATCGTCCTGTTCACCAGCAGCTTGTCTTCACACAGTCTGGAAGCACTTAAGTCATTTATTCTTTGTAGATATGTAACCAACAGTCATCTATACTGGCTTTTTTTGGAAAACACACATAAACAGACTTTATCATGTCACCGAGCGCAAAAAGACAAATATGAAGCACTGATTTCGTGTCATTCTGTCGTGACAGTGTTCTTCTATCGTTCCTCACTGAGATAACCGCTCTGTGATAAACTTGTGATTTGAATACTCGGTGGTTTGGTTTGCAAATAAACTCCAAACTGAAATGTAGCTGTTGAGTTAGATCACCCAGTAATCAGATAACCCACTAATACAACATTAGCTGAAGCTGTAACTCAGTAAAACATAATCAGTAAAAATGGTTAACAAATAACTGATCTCTTTATATTTATTATTATGATTTATTTTACTGCAGTGGCTTTTAACGACATTATTTTTGGTTGATAAGACGACAACGCAATTAAAAGATATTCCTCCACATTAAAGGTAAAAAATATATGAATAAAATACAATAACCAACAGTTTCTTGCTGTACTTATATTTCTGTCAGAGATGAAATGAGAGTTGATACTTAAATAAAATATCTGAGAACTTACCTCTTCCACTACTGCCTCATGAGTACTTTTACTTTTGTTACTTAAATTACATTTACTGGAACTCTGTCCTATTACTTAACTAATATTTTGAATGCGGGACTTGTACTTCTAACAGTATTTTTACTCTGAGGTATTGCTACTTTTATTTCATTTGAATACTTCTAACAAGAACTGTTTAAGTTAAATGTAGTATAAATACATGTGTTGTAGTACCGCCAAATGGCCGCCGGGGACAGCAGAGTCACTGTTTACAGGCAGACCAGCAGCTGGCTACACGAGCTCTTTAGCCCGGTAGCGTGGAGTTGAAACCAGAGACACAGACAGCAAGGAGGTCGCTGTATTAGTTTGTTTTTTTGGGGGAAAAGTTACATAAAAGTCGCAGGTGAACCAGCCAAGCTCTGTGTCGTTTACTACAGACTCTGCGGTAACTACTTGTTGATATGAAACAGTCGATTCGTGCGGAAACAACAACATTTAAGCTCGTCGATCTTCTGCATGGTCGCTAGCTAAGCTAACAGTTAGCTCCAGAAGCTACTTGGCTAGCTGGCTTTAGCGAGGAGGTCCAGCCCAAAAAAAAGTTGTTTACCCACGACCTTTTCGCGACTTTTTTTTTCTCCGGGATAATAGCTCGAGGACCAACTATTCACACTGGATTTAACACCGCTTGCTGTTAGGAAACTAGCAGGATGTCCACGGAGGTCGAGTGTAGCCAGGTTGTTGTTGCCTCCTCGGGTTTGACAGGAGCGGAGGAGCAGCAGCAGAAGAAGAAGAACCACAACAAGTCCGAGGGGCCTCCGGAGCCAGAAGAAGAGAAGCCGCTACAGAAGGGCTCCTCTGACAACAACAAGCAGCTAGCGGACGGCCTCGGCTCCTCCGAGACGGACTCGCACAAGAAATGCAAACAAAACGACAAAGAAAACGACCAAAGCAGCAACGCTGCTGACTCTGCGGTCGAGGCGGTGAAGAGGAAAGTTGTCGAGGCTCCTCCGCCCAAAGTCAACCCGTGGACTAAGAGGACAACGGGCAGGGTGCCGGTCAACCACATCAACAACACCGGCCCTCCAGAGAAAGGTGAGTTCAATTTAAATCAATTGAATTGCCTAAATTGTGACACCCATTATAAGCCGTCCTTGAGCTCCTTGTTTGCAACATTTTGACAGCTTCTCTGCACAAGAAATCCACGTTTAATGTCCCAACATTCCTCATCTGTGCTATTTTTAAGGGTTTGAATGAAGCGTGTTTTTCAAACTTGAATGTCAAGAGGTGTTGATGGTCGTCATGTATGCACCATCCCCCACCTGTGCTCGGATTGCTCCACGTGCACCACGTGTTGATTGCTACTTTCTTTTCTACCTGTAACTTCTACACACCATCCAGCTCCTCGCGCTGCTTCACCCGCATTTTTGGTTAAATGCAGCACGTGGGGAGGCGGAGAACAATCCGAGAAGCTTAATCGGCCTCGTGTTGGTGCTGTGTTGGTGTTTAAAAACGTGAATAAGCTAAGACAGCCGAGGCTAGCTGCTGCTGTAGAGACACGTTTTGCATGTCCAATGGCCGGGCTTCCTGCAGGTCCTCCCACCAGCCTCCTGCTCTCCAGTGTCACCGGTGAAAGTGTGTGAACGAGGTGGCCGGACAGCTGGACGACGTACAGTAGGCTGGGGTTGTAAACTATTCTGTTTACTTTGGAGGAATCTAATTAGTGTATTTGTGAGGAATGAGTTAATCATTAATTGTTGGAAATGGGGCCCTTAGAAGTGCACAGAGCCCAAATATGCTACAGACGAATGTAATACAGAACACCAAGTCACTATTACTTTAATCGGGAATGATGATAATAAACATTATGTAAGCAGAGTGCTTTACATACACTCAATAGTTGTTGGATTTGTTAAATGACAGAAAATAGTGATAAATGAGCCTCAATGTTTTGCCATTTTTGCTTTTTAAATGGCGTTAACAATTGATATATAAATTGTTAATTATGGCTGCAACAGCTGATTAATTTCTAGGTATAAATATCACAAAATAGAGACAAAAATAAAGCCCAATGTGACGTCATCAGACCACGAGTCAAAGAGAACTAAATGTATAAAACGGTTTAATATAAAACAAAGAAAATTCTCAGTTGAAACCAGTAAAAGAGCATTTTTGTAATTTCCTCAGAGACTGAGGCGACGTCTTCTAATCGCTTCTAACCAAATATATTCACTTCACCAGGATATAAAACAGAAAACACTCACATTTAAGAAGCTTTTATTGTCATATGCACAATTAATGACGACTTTCTACGTAAAGTGTCTTTTGCCTTCAACTCTGAACGTCGTTTAGAAGGAAACACGAAGTAGAAGAAATAACTAAAACACTGCGTTTGAAAGAGGTGAATGTTTATCAGGCATGGAGGGTGTAATGGAAGACACTGTTGCATTATGGGAGATGTAGGATACAGTGTTTTTCCAGTATTAACCTTTTCACTTATTTTGAAATCACTTTCAAAAAGTCCCTTTGAACTTAATGGAAGTTTATTTTTCAGATGCAGCACCCCTTTAATATTTGATTAATTTTCTGTCTATATTTATAGAAACATTATCTGTAAAAAAAAAAAAAAAAGTGACAAATTGTTTGTTAAAACAAATAATACACATTTAAAAGCACCCAGACATGCGTAGAATAAGACAACTATCTGATCAGCTAATTGATCAATCAGCTGATCAGTTCAGCGCCAGTTTAACAGCTGAAAGAAACAACTCCTCACTTCACACGTAAGAATGTATTGATTTAGACTACTGCTTCATTCTAGTGTGAACATGTGACCTAGCTTTGTTAAACTGTTGGTGAGTGTGTGTCCGAGCTCGGGGTGTCCACAGTGGAGCTATATTAGACTCTGACGAGAGCACCGGCATCGTTTTACAAGAGGAGCTGTACGACGGGCGTCTGCCGGCTCAGAGAGCGTCCCAGTTGATAGAAGTATAAATTTAGGTGCAACTCAACCTGTTTTGCTCAACTTAATTAGTTGATAAGTTTAATATCCGTTTAATATTCGTATTCATGAAAAATGCCCCGTTGTGTCGAGGCAGAGGCCGTTATTGAGGTAAACTCTATATATATATATATCTATCTATCTATCTATCTATCTATCTATCTATCTATCTATCTCTCTCTCTCTCTCTCTCTCTCTCTCCCTCTCTCTCTATATCTCTCTCTATATCTCTCTCTATATCTCTCTCTATAGATATCTATATATCTCTCTATATCTATATCTCTATATATATATCTCTATATATATCTCTATATATATCTCTATATATATATATATATATCTATATATCT